ATCATTAACTCGGAAGGTTCACTGCTAAAAATTCGAAATCTACAGAGATTGCATTTTGTCCATTCTGGTCGAATGTCACAGTATTTAAGCACGTTAATGCTAATTTGCGCTCAATCCAGAAGGGTCTCGGGATTAAAAAAGAAGATAATGTATAAAATTACACCTAAATTGGCCAAATAGTTCGACTTTTTTCAAAAAAGAAAAAACAATGGATTCACCCGTAAGGCAACATCAGAGGCAGCGTGGAAATGAGAGCACCAGTCCAGTAATGTCAAGGGAGGTTTTAGACCTAGCTAACAAAAATATCATGATTATGACATAAGAAGCGGCGATCAGTAATCAGCTTGAAATTTGCAACAAATATTATAGTTTCGAAATAAAAATTACTTCTCAATGCAATCAGAGTTTTAATCCCCCACGAAAATTGCAATTAACAATTTCAACGTTATTTTTAATTCCCCATATCAGCAATTGAAGGCTACGAATCGTCGCTTGTTACGATTTGTCGCCCGTCAAAAAATACGAATCGTCGTTTGTTACGAGTTGTCGCCTGATACAACTCGTCGCCTGTTACGAATTGTCGCCTCACGATTCTTTATACAACCTTGGAATTTTTTTTACTTACTCAGCATCACAAATGAAAAAAAAATCATTGTCTTTGTCAATTCTGGAAACGTAGCTGGTTTTTGACAATGTGCTAGTTTTGCTTTGTGACATTTATAAGACGTCTAGTTATGCCTTGCATGTCTTGCATACAAACCAAAATAAATTGGCATTTATCTCGTAATTTTCCCTCAATTATCTCGTAACTTTTCCTACTTTCGTCCGAATGTGACTTCGTTATTTTCTGTTAAGTTTTGAGCTTGATTTACTTCGAAGTAAAATGAATAAGGCTAAGTCTAATAAGAAGAAAATAAGCAGCATGATAGGATATGCTAGAATTTACTTTACAAACAACAGTCTCTCTGCAGTACCAACCGATAAAGGGGTTGAGCTTCGTGTTTTAAAAAGTGCCCAATATGCATTCAAACTGCTAGAATTATTACAGTCGATCAAATTCAAAATATTTGATAACACTAATGATTCAGTGTTGTTACATTTCGAAAAACACAATTACGAGGGCTGTCGAGTCTTATAAGGGCAGCTACATAAATGGACAACCATACAGCAAATTGACGTCAACATGTAAACAAGCATGCTCGTTTGTACGGTTTAGTAATAATTTACAAGGAAGTCATACCACTGCTCCAATTTCTATCTCTACAGATTTCAGTCCAAGTCTTGAACAAATAACAGGCTAAGTTTTTGCAAACCTGGAAAAAAGGAAAAGACGCACTTGAACTTATTGAGACTATAAAACTGGAATCCAATGAGACCACCATGTGTTTAAATGTGTTAATAATTTACACGACTGTTTTTATCAATGATGCAATCGACAAAGCAACAAAAAAATTCATGAGCGAGAAAAATTTGAATACATCGCTACAATAAGCTGTAGGCCAAGTTCACAATAAGTATAATGACTGAGGGTTTGGATATGGAAGCTTCTTTTGAAGTCAAACTTAAGAATGAAAGAGTAGGAACTTGTGTTCAAGAAAAAAATCCCTGAATTTCCATGATAACCGCAGATTTAAATCGTGTCTGTCCAGACTTTAGGAAAAAAGTAGTGAAAAGGAAAAAAGAGATGTAAAATTTTTTAAATTGGTTCAATCAAAATGTAGTAAGCTTCGAGCAAATAATTGTATAAAATTTTTAAAGTGTGTCTGGTCCTGCTCGTCTTGTTTTTAGATTTTGAGCTTCACGCAATCAGAAGAAGAAGATATTGGAAGGCGTAAATCATCGATTTTTTAGATGCACCGTTTTTTTGAATAAAACTGTTGAGACCATGAATGCAGAAGAAATTCATTTAAATAAAGGTAAACAACCGCTCAGACAAGAATTATCATGAAGATGGTCATGATTCTAAAGACCTGAAACCCATGTTGGATTTGCAGTACAGAAGGCTTGCAAGTCAGAATTTCTCAAATTAGGTGGAAAATGTTATGAAAACGACAGTTTTATCCAACACCAAAAAGCAGAAAACCTGCCTACCTTGAAGTCTTTTTTTTTGCGTTTATTAAATTCAAACTTGTTTCAAGGTTTCCTTTTGTGGATACAATTACACCTAAATTGGCCAAATAGTTCGAACTTTTTCAAAAAAGAAAAAACAATGGATTCACCCGTAAGGCAACATCAGAGGCAGCGTTGAAATGAGAGCACCAGTCCAGTAATGTCAAGGGAGGTTTTAGACCTAGCTAACAACAATATCATGATTATGACATAAGAAGCTGCGATCAGTAATCAGCTGGAAATTAGCAACAAATATTATAGGTTCAAAATAAAAATTTCGGCTCAATGCAAAAAAATGAAAAACATGAAATAAAAATTTGACAAGTTCCAATATCGGAAAGTAAGATAAATTGAAACTTGGAGTTCAATAAAACCAAACAATTAAGTAACAGAATGTCTCAGGATTATAAGTTGGAGTATATAATCATCATGCAATTTTGGTGAAATTTTAAGTTTGGTAATATTTGATTGGTTGGTTTTATGAAATTGTGTAGAGCCGAATGACGTAGAAAATTTTGTGATCTTCATTTGGTGGGTATTTACTTGTAACAAATTGAAAAAATAGTCTCATTATCAAATTAAATAATCGTGTTAGTATCAAAATTAACCAATTGGCCGATGATTAGCTGACTGTTTCAAGTTTTTGGCTTAAGGTTCTGCGGCAATAAACAGCACTATTTATTGTATCAAATCCTAACTTCAGTTGGCAAGCTTGCAACCACTTGACGTCCGATGTATACCAAGGTTCAACTGTACCCAAATGAAAAATCGGTCCCATTTGTATCAAATTTTTTAAGTCAATCCTTGATGGAACCAATTGTGAGCTAACGAATTATTATATATTTTTTCTTCTGTTCAAACAGCAGAAAACTAAACAGCGGAATAGTGTACATCGGGTTGCGGACTTGCCAACAAAGAGTAGGAATTTATACGAAAACTAGAGCCAGTTATCGACGCGAAGACTTTTCATTGCCGCGAAGTCTGGCCTCATCTTCAGCGGAACCTTGTTTCTTAGTCTATTCAAAATTGTGAACGTTTTTGGCCAATTTTGGCAACAAATACGTCGGGGAAGGCTTAAGTCTTGCGTTCGACTCTGACCACGAATTGTAATTTTTTCAAATAGGAATTATTCTGTGTCAAATATAAATATCGGCCAATTATTTGTCTGTTATCTGATGTCGGCATAATAGTCTTATCTTGGAAATTTTTTCTACTTAAGCTTCTTCATTAATTTTTATTGAAGCTATTAGTGTTTGATTTGCTCCTATTATCTTTATTTTTTTTTCATTGACTTGCTTAAGAAAATTCTTCGGCCCAAATTATTTCGGCCTTTTTTACTCGGCTTTTTGACCTATTTTGGTCGTTTCAAGGGAAACTCAATTTAAACACTCCTCTCCGCTTTCGAAATGATTGTATGTTTAACGCTCGTTTGTTAAAACTCAATTTTCTTTTCGTTTTGGATTTTTTTAAGTCTTAATTTTTCTCAAAAAACTTCTTTTGGTTTTTAACAAAAATGGTATCATTTGAAAGACCACCTTCTTCTTTGTCTGCCGGCGTACTCCTCCAGGGTCTCTTTACACTTGACCCCTCTGTCTATCGCCTTTACCATATTATGAATTTTCTAATTTTCTTGAAAATTACCCCTCTCAAATCTGAGTTTTCAGCTTCATTTAATAAAACAGTTTTGAAAAGCTATTCTGCATTAGCGGCTATGTTCCAGTTTTTTTGCACATAAATATATGGCCCTCGGAATAGTAAAATCTTTGATTTTTGACCGGTTTTGATTTTTATTGACTTATCTCGAAGACTCACCTCTCAAGGTTGATATTCTGGGTTCAATGGAGATAAACGGTTTTCAGAAGCTCTCCTGCGTTAGCGACCAAACTTGTTTTCTCACAAAATGGTATCGCCCAGGAAAAAGTCAACTTTTTAAAGGTTGACTTTTATCGAGAACCTTCCCAAATCTGAGGTTTTGGGTTCTATCGATTTTACAGGTTGCTCGAATTACTGAAGCTGCTTCGCTTTATTTTCACCATAAAGCTATGATTATCTGAAATATCGAATTTTTCATTGGTGACCGTTTTTTTGGACTTTTCTCGCTAACTCTCATGTCAAATCTGATTTAGGTGTAATCGAAGCAACAGGTTGTCGAAAGCCGCATACCTGTATAACTGGCTATGCCCTGTTTGTTTAAGAAAAAAGTAATGGCCTTCAAGTCAGTCAAATTTTTAGAAACTTATTGACTTTACGCGAAACTTATTGACTTTACGTGTTCAACTGAGAAACCCGGTTTTGGGAATCTTCTCTGCTTAAACTGCCACCACCTGCCTTTTGCAGAAAAATGTATGGATTTTGGAAAGTTGTTTGACAGTTTTTTTAGAAGTTTTCCCAGTTTTTAGAAACTTGACCAAAATTTTGATTCTAGTTCTTGCAACGTCTAATTATTTTTCGACTTGTTTTTTTTTATGTTTGTGTTGTATCGCAAATGTTGCGAAGCTCCGCTTAGCATCTGTGTAATGAATTTAGCTCATTGAATTCGGATCGTCCTGCGCTGAGGTAGGTAGCATTCATCCTTGTGTCGTCAATATATGGTTGGTTTTAGCAGAAACGCGAGGATTTTACTGGGGCGATTTTGCGGCGCCTGTTTTTTTGTTCTTTTAATCCATCGCTCGTCGAGTTCACCGGGTCCATTTTTTCTGGAGTTTTTGAACATTCAATTTTAATCATTTTTATCAATCACAGTCCGAAAAAATGCATGACAATTTGAAGTAAAAATCAAGAAATCGCTGAAAAAGATAGCGTTGGACATCCTGTGACAACTTGCAAAAGTACTTGGCCATAATTTTTGCAACGAAACCATTTTATATATATATATACTTATATATTATAGATTGATGGAAACTTTAGATAGACTGCATCCTTCCGAACTTGAATTCTTGGCTGAAGATTCCCTTATAACGGTGGTTCCCAAGTTAAACCAAGAGCAGTTGTTTCTTATCGTGGGAGACTTTGGTCCTTTCTCAGCTGGTCTGCCTTGTGATGTACCTCTTTGGCTTGCGGTTCATCTATCGAAAAAGAGACTATGTGAAATACGTCCCCCTGCGTGGCTCAATTCTGAAAAATTGGCCGAATGGAAGCAACTGGAGGTGGACTCACCTGATATTTTTCAACCAATGCTTTGTTCAAACTACATGGAAGTGTCTCATTTATTATTAACTCATGCTCTAGATAGCATTCCTCACGCTGACCAAGTGCGAACTTTAATAAAAGATATTTGGGACATCCGAACCTCCAAACTAAGAAGCAGTATAGATAAGTTTATTAAGGACAAGGAAACGTTTGCCGGTTTGAACAACTTGTCTGTGATGGAAATCAACTTTATTAGACCTCTACTTGTAAACACGTTGGATAACATGAATGCTATACGCTTTGCTGAGCAGGCTGAATAATTTTTACTCGTTTGTTTTAATAGATTGTTTTTTGTTTGTTTCGAGCTTGCTGGTGAATATATTATTTTAATGGTTAGTTTTGAGCCTATTTGATGAAGTACTCAATTTTCCTCAGATGATTGAACATGTTGCAGTAATTATTCCAGTGTTCAACGGTGAAAAATGGCTGGAAGAGTGCTTACAATCAGTTGCCGACCAATCTATCCTTAAAATCAACTATGTTAAGCTTTCAGTCTCAGTTTACAACGATGCGTCTGCTGATAATTCAAAACAAGTTCTGGATTGTTGGCGTCTAAAGTTTGAAAATCTGTCGATCGACTTCATAGTAACAGACAACTGCGATGCTCCTGGAGGAGTTGGCTTTGCAAGAAACAGGGCTATTGATGTAGTTTTAGCAAAGAATGAATCCATCGAATATTTCTGTTTTCTTGACTGCGACGACGTTATGAAGCCTCAAAGAATTGAAAAACAGCTGGAAATGTGCAGATTGAACCAAAATGCAATAATTGGAAGTCAAGTAATTTCCTGTTTTTTTTTAAATTGCACAAGTAGCTTGTATGAATGTCTTTAACTATATCCCCCTGGGGTACCTAGTAGTGAATATCCCCCCCTATAAAGGAATAAATCAACGGTTAAGCTAGTGAGAATTTTATACCCTGTAACGAAACTCCCCCTTTTGCAAAAGAATGATATAGTTAAAGATATCCGCTCGTATATAACATTTTCAAACCGACCACACCTTTTCTGTATTCGAGACAAGGTTTTTTTTACTAGATCGATTTTTTATCCGACGAAAGTAATTTCGTCAGTTAGAATATTAACATCAACGCGGCAATATAATAGAAAATAATCCAGTTAATCCAGGTTTTTTTAGTAGAAAGTGCCGTATAAGCAGGTACTAGACATTTCCCAGAAAATAACTTCTCTTAAAGTCACTTCTTGGTAATGACCTTCTTGCTCGTATTCGGTTAGATGATAAATCAGCTAACCAGCTCAGATTTTATCTTATTTGCACGTAAAATTAACCGGTGCCTAAAATCAGGTTTTTTTTTGTAAAATAGTTTTTTTTTGGAGAGTTTTTCCTATATTGCAGCCGAAGTACGACTATTTTTGGATTTTTTTTTTCAATTAAAGAATATTAGCGTGTAACGCGCCTCCGGTGCTTTGAATTTTTAACAACTCAAAAAACCGCTTATCTTGGAAATAAGATCTGTATCCTTTCAGTGTACTCTGACAGCACCCAATTACAGGGTTGGTAATTTCAAATTTTTGAATTTTTTTATTCAAATGTTGAAAAACAATAAAGTTTTGTGCAGTTCTTTAAAAATTTTAAAATTAATCAAGTAACGTCGCATCCCGGAAACTAAAATTCTTTGAAAAATTTTAAAACGAATTAAGAAACGTCACATCTCGGACACTAAAAGCAATTGAGCAGTCGCATTTGTACGCAAAATTTGCAACTCCTGAGAGTACTCTGACAGCCCCAATCCAATATACAGCGTTAAGAATTTCAATTTTTTAAAAAAAGGTTAAATTCAAGTTTTCTGAAATTTTTTTGAAAAAATCACAAAAAGTCATGTCGGAAAAAATATTAAGAACTGAACAGTCATATTGAAGGCCGAACTCGCAATACCTGGGGAATCTTGACAGCATCCCACTATTGGGTTGCTAATTTCAACTTGTTGAAGTATACACTGGAAAATGGAAAAAAAATCTTGACCATTGCAATATACGATATAGCTGAAACGTGAAAAAATTCTTTTGTTAAACATGCAAAATTAATGCATTGAAAAAGCTTAAACATGGCGAAATAGTGAATCCCGCATTTAAATATATAATAGATTATCCTCAGTTTTAATTTTTTTCTTCACTTTTTTTTGTGTTTAAATATATTAAAAGCTTATTTTATTGGGGTAAATGGCCGAAGTATCAGAAGTTTTGAAAATTGATTTTTTATGATTATTAAATTAAACGATTATTTTTGCTTTTAAAAGTTTTTTTTTAGCTCTGATTAGACGTGGGTTATATTGTGAAAGCTATTCAAAAAATTTTTCATTAGTTGATTCATTCAAAACACGTCCAGAAAGACAATCACCTGCGTTAAATAAGTATTCACAGAACTGTAACTAAACCGGCAAAATTTGGGTAGCTCATGTTTTTTTTGTAAATTTTTTCTTTCAAATTTATGGTGGCGGGGTATTAGTGTATTGCCTGTGTGGTTACGCTGATGGGTCGCCTCCAATCGATAATTTCATTCGTCCTGCCGTTATTTGTCCTCCTCGCGACAGCATTGCCTGCCCGTTTGACCGCATTAATAGGCAGCTGAGCCGATTGTACATGGCGTTTTTCATTTCCGGTGTGCTGGTCGCTGTTAGCATGGCCACGCAAGATTCCAGGCGGTCTAGAAATGCCATGGCCTGATGACATGCTTCCGATAAGTAAGAGTTCGGTTATTGAAATTTTTTCGGGCATCTAACAGAAAATCTGGAAAGTTGTCTGGTCAAGTTAGTTCTCAGCTACCAAAAATAATCATCAAGTGAGATCAGTGATATATGATTAGCCCTTTCAGTCGTGATTTGATCGAACTTCAAAAAGGTTCCAAATTCCGAGAGCAACAAATGGTTTGAATTTGTTGGTTTTGTCTAATTTCAGCGAATGAAGTGAGAGAGCAGGCTAAAAAAAAAGCTTATAACTCAAATAAATCTTTGAAAGTTAAGTTTACTCCAGTAAAGTTAGTTTACGAAGTTTCTTTTGGCGCCTTCTTGGGATTAACTTGAAACAAAAATCATAAATATTTCCGCAATTGAATTTTTAATTACTATATGTGTTAAGGAAAACTGTTGTCAAATGTACCTATTTGCGCACGTGACTAGGACCTGATTGTTTTCAAACTTAAAGTTGTTTGTTTCAAAGTAAATGTAATCCTATTGTTTGTCTGCTTATAATTTGTTAACTTAGTTGCCACAGATAGCGCTGAAAGCAATTTTTACTCTTATTGAAAGTGTTTGGTTTATATTGGAAATTGGTAAATCTACTGTTCCTTCGCTTCAAAGGGTTTCTTTTTTGTTTGGTTGGCTTACTCATCTAATTTCGCGTAGTTTGAAGAGATGAAGGTTTTCATCTTATAAAAAAGCGTAACTATTTTAAGTTAAAAATATCTCTTGGAACATTTGGTTTCGACTTTAACGGGACGTTACCGAGGTGGTTTTGGCATAACTGACGCTGGATGAATGCTGAATTTTTTTCTCAAAATAAACATCATTCGAGATAAATGAATGAAGTTTTCGTAGTTGTTTTTTGTTCGATTTACTTTCTTTCTGCTGGCTTGCTACGCTTTGTTTTGTAAGTGTCTTGTAAGTGGCACGAAGCTTCGCGTCGATGTAAAATCGATGTAACTGGGCTGATTCTATAGCTTTCCAGAATTATTGAAAGTTCATTTTTAAAATATTTGATTTTGAATGTTGATTTTGAGCTGGCTTTTCATTAAAAAAATGGTTCCGTCTCATCGTATCTGCTCAAGAATTCTCGGTTTTGTTACCGCTTTGTAGGTTTTGTTTCTGATTTTCATTCAGTTTTTAAGAGTCTATGAACGTAGTTCAGCCTCTTATATAGGTCGTGATGATTCTTTTTTTTCGGGTCTTAAAATGCTCAGAAGGTTTTTTTGGGTCTTAACAGGTTGCAGAAGTGCATTCATCTATATTAATGTACTTTTGAATGCTTCTTAGTTCATATGCATTATTTGAGTGCAATTCAATTTCATCTGCTAAAAGTTAGGCAAGTTATGCTCTCCAATTAGAAAAGTGTAAAAATCAAGAAAAACGTAATCGACTTCTAGTTTCGAGAGGAATTTAATTTTCAGATTTCCCAGCGAAATAATAAGCAAACTTATTGATCCAGTTTTCTCAAATTGCGTCTTTTATCATCAAAAAAGTTTCAATCGTAAATTAATTTATAAATTAAGAGCTTCAGTGAAGTAGCCTCGAGAAATTCCAAGAGCAAAATTTGCGGCTCTCATTTATATTAGTCGATTGTTTTGTCATGCTGTGTGTGTCAAATTGCATGCAGTGCCAAGCTTTGGTTCGCCTCTGTTAGTTAAATTGCTCCCGGTCCAACTCCCTACATTCACCTTTGGGTCTTTTTTCCGCGGGGGAGAGAGATTTCATCTTGAGATGCGGATGACACTGGGACCTTGAGGTGCGGATGACACTGGGACCCCTTCAACCGTGACCGAAGCAGGATTCGAACCCACGACTTTTGTGTTAAAGGCCGTGCGTCTTAACCAATCGGGCGCGTTTACCGCAGTTTTGTATCGCAAAAAGTGCGAAGCTCTGCTTCGCCTCTGTGTAATTGATGCGCAGCCTGTTTAAACTATGAGCGAAACTTAACACCTTGAAAGGATAACAGTCAGATGCGAGCAACACTTAAGATTATATTTATTTTCCTTTTAGTTTATTCGAAACGACGCGGCCACAGTTCGCTTCACTGACTGGTGTAATAATCTATCTGGTAGTCTTCTGGAAACCCAGATATACACTTCGCATGGGCCGACTGTGGCTATGCCTACTTGGTTTATCCACAGATCGAAACTTCAGAAGTTTTCAGAGGAGGGAACGGGAACACCGGAAGACTTGTTGTTTTTCTATAAGCACCTGAGAAATGGAGGCAAAGTTAAAAGAGTGGACGAGAAATTGGTGTTTTATCGATATCATCCCTCAAATACGACATTTTCGATCAAATCTGAGACAATTTGGAATGTCAAATTGCACTTCTTTATTGAAGATGTCCTGGAGAAGGTACTAACTTTGATTATTTTGAAAATATTCATGATTGTCGGAAATAAGGGCAGAATTGTCGACCACAATTTTTTTTTAAAGAAAACATTTAAAGTGAAAATTTTTTACTTAACAGTCTTTTAGTTATAAGTTTTTCCTCGATAATTGTGCATTGTTTTCTATTTTTCTCTGTTTTGTTGATTTCTCTCATTACAATTGCGATTAGCTCGCGTTATAAAATTGGAAAATAGACTTTTTTTGGGTTATTTGGCCGGCTTACTTTGCTAGATCCTGTTATTGGAAGCAATTTGGCCCTCTTAGTGTGGGTGTAGCGTGCACGCTTGGGAAGACTAAAGTCATGGGTTCGATTCCGCTCAGGACTGGTTTTTTTCGCAGACAGATTTTTTTTTGCGTGGCAAAAAACTTTGTCTGACTATTGTTTGTCGCTTATTTTGTCTGCTTAGTTGCCATAGCTTGAAATTTGTTTATGATTTAAGCTCTTTTCACTGTCATTCAAGACCCTTCAATTTTGCAAAAGTTTTTGCATACGTTTCCTTCGCCTCGAATGATTTTGTCAGTGAGCGTTTAGGAATAAAAAGCGTTAGAGAATGACTAGATTGTACTTACTTTTGTAGAGTTTTGGAGCTTTTTGGAAAATATGGACAATGTAGCTGTTATTTTTTCACAGACAATGTGTTAAGCTCTAGTTCTTGTATATATTTTTGTATCGCTAGTGATGCGAAGTTCGGCTCCGCCTCTGTGTTGAAAACTCAAAATGGTCATTGCATTTTTTTTCGTTTCTCAAGTATCTCATTAAAACTCAAACTTCAGATTTTTTGTCAGCTTAATTGCTATAGCACGGAATTCACACATGGTTCAAGCATTCTTTTATAATTGAAAATCCTCTCAATCTACTTCGATTTTTGCAAGTAATTGCTTTCCAAGACTTTTTTTTTGAGCTTTTTCATATTTTAAGTTACAATTTTGTAATTTTGCATCCTTGTTTCCTTCAGAGGGAAGAAAAAATGCGTTTAAATGTTCCGATTTTACTCCTTCACAATTTTTTTTTTCGCCTGGCTTAAGTCGCGTTTCTGAATCATAAAGATTAAGAATAGAGAAAGCCTCAGTGGAGGATTCGACCCCCTGCCGAGCCAAAGGGTACCACCTTTGGTACTTTTAAAGAAATCCATTTTTGGACGACGGACCCTAAAATTTTCTAAAGGCCAATACTAATTTTGAGGAGCGTGCGCTAAAAAAAGGCAATTTCTTTGCTTCTGTGTAAAATTTCATACCAAGTAATTATCAGCGGATTTTAATTCGCCCTAACATGGATGCAGTTTGTTTTTGTGGGAGTGTTGACAGTTGGAATTGGTGGCAAATAAGTTGTAAGAATTCATTTAATCAGACTCGCAGTATCGAGAACTTCTAAAGCAAAGCTTGATTTTTGGGTGCCAATCAGTCGATAGCAGTTTAGTTCAATAATTATCAGTATAGCTTGGCATTTGCTGTAGGAAAAATAGTCGATTTTTAGACTGCTATGAATATTTGACTGCTACCAATTTTTGCCCATTATCGATATGTTGTAGTAGGTGTAGTCTATTTTTTTTTCTACGACGAGCTGGGTGGTTTGAACTATACCTACAAAAACTTCGTATTTTCTCCCCAGTTGCGAATTTAGGATAATTATTATTTAGTTTTCTATTCACGTGGAGCTTAAATGGCCTAATAGTACCTCTCAGAAATCATTCGAACTTAAATTGACTACTTGTCCGAACACTTGGTTCTTTTTCCTTTTTGGGATGTGTTTAATTTTGAAATTAAATTTAAATTAATGCGGTTCATGTATTAATGACTCGAAGAATGACAGGAAATCTCGCAATCAAAGAATGAACTTATTTGAAAGGGTTTCCGGCCCAGTTGAGGTCGCCAACCGATTGAAACATTCTGAGGCTGTTCTTAAAATATATATGAAATTTCAAAAAATCGAAGAATTTAAATGTCAGACAAGAAACAAAACGGTGGCCGGATAGTTATGTGGTTTTTGCAAAACCAGTAGTTTTTCTTAGTTACTGTACATATGCTCTAACTTTAGCTGGACAAGTTCTCAATTTGGGGTGCTGGCAAACTTGGCAAGCAGTTGTTCAGGTCACTTCCCGAAAGTATTCGCCACAAGGTCACTCAGTTCTTTGATGTAGACCAATCGAAACTGAAACATGGATTTGTGAATCTGCCCTACCTGCCAGATGAAAAATCAAAATGGGTCCCTATTGAACATGTTGACTCTTTGAAGAGTCCATTTGTTATTTGTCTCAAACTTAACTTGTTGGGCTTCGAAGAAATTCTGGCTAAATTTCAGTTTCTGGAAGGGGTCGATTACTGGATTTTCAATTAACCCTATTTAAGAATAAATTCAACAGTTTCGAGTATACTAGTTTCCAGAAATGAATGGTCAATAATTGTCAAAAGTAACGAAGTTTTGTCGCGCTTTGATAATATAGAGAGTGTTCTAATCTAGTTGTTAATTTTTTGCTAGATATTTACAATCCAGCTCATAAGTAGGCTGAAATAAATTAAAGCCCAGTACTAATAGCCTCTCAGCGTAAAGGTTTTGTCGAAACTGAGCTGCCTTGAAATCTTGGTATTGTCAAGTAACGAGAAAAAGTTTCGACTCACTGATTCTTAAAGAGTCATAGTTCCGATTTCGAGTCTTAAATTTATTTCAGATTTCTGATGAAATTGAAGACGAGTGTCGTGTCTTTTGATGCGCATGTTCCCCCTGGCGTGAAATGTCTGCAGTACTCTAAGATGACCAAGAAGATGTACTCTGTTCACGTGGATAACTCAGTTGTCAAATGGGACGCATCTTTTGCATTTGTAACTGTAAGTTTTTGCTCCGATCGCCGAATTTTGTTTCGCTATGGTAACTATCGAGAACTGCGAAAAGTATCTAGAGATTAGTTAAACTGAAGAATATTCCAATTTTGAATAATTTTTGCATGAAAAAGCTCGTAGATAAGACAGTTTGTTTTAAGGGCACCTAAAATTTAAAATTTGAATGCAAAATTTCTTCAATATCACAAATTGCTCTCTGCGATTGAATTTGTCTATCCGAAATTTTTGCAAATGCAATGAAGACACTCGTAAAGGTCGTGTTGATTTTTTCGTGTTGAGTCTGGTCTTCTGTGAGGAAGGCAAATTACGATCTTCAATAACAAAAGCATAAATGGCGCGAAAAAAGTGTCAGTCAGAAATTGATCTTGAAATTCACAGAGATCTAACTCTCATTTTCTATGAAATTTGCAACCAAGAATTTTTTCAAAAAACAAGTAAGTGTTTTTTTTTCATTTCCGTTGCGTTCATGGACATTTTCGAACTGTCTGTTGGTTATGTTTCATATTAATTTTAAGAGTAATGAACGTACTGAAGACTGAACGTATTTTGTTTTTTTTTTAAAGAAAAAGTCTGAAAATATTGATGCACTTAGGTATGCACTTTTTGAGTTTAATTGAAATTCATCTGCTGAAAGTGACGTGAATAGCACTCTCCAATTGCGAACGTGGAAATGGCGCGAAAAAACTTGAACGATTTTTAGTTTTGAAAGTGGAATCTATCTATCTATCTATCTATCTATATATCTATATATCTATCTATTTATCTATCTATCTATTATTTAATTGAGACATGTTTAAGAAGTTTCTATGTCGATATGTTTAAAAAGTCCCTATGTTGACATTTTTTTTGCAAGTTTAACGAAAGAATTTTTGCACGTTTAAGCTACATCGTATAGTGTAATGCTCAAGAAATTTCACTTGGCACATGTGTGAAAAATTGCTGTGTTGGTCTGTTTAATGATTAAAACAATGCAAGGGTTGAAAGGCTAAGTTAAGTTGACGTTTTAAAATCTGTTGGAGCGTGAAAGCTTTAACTCTACGTTTTTCCTACATTCGCAACGTAAAATATCAACATTTTTATTTCATAATTTAATAAAGTAAATTTTATTTTCTCAACCCTATAATGGTGTGCTGTCAGGGTACACTCAATGGTTGCAAATCTAGTGTCCAAGTGTGCCTGCTCAAATACTCATGGTTTTCCAGATATGGCGTTTTTTTATGAATTTTTCATTTCTTTTTCAAATACTTAGATATAAAAAACTAACCGAACTTTAATTTCTCAATCCTATAGTGAGGTGCAATCAGGCTACACTCATGAGATAAAAAAAACTATCCGAACTTAAATTTCTCAACCCTATAGTGAGGTGGAATCAGGGTACACTCAGGGGTTGCAAATCTAGTGTCCAAGTGTGACTGCTTAAGTACTTATGGTTTTCGAGGTATGGCGTTTTATGATTTTTTTTTAATTTCTTTTTCAAAAATTTAGAATAAAAAAACTAACCGAACTTGAAATTCTCAACCCTATAGTGGAGTGCAGCTGGGGTACATACATTAGCTGGAATACTGGTATCGAAGTATAACTGCTCAATTTTTTTTGGTTTCAAGATATGGTGTTTTTTTTTGATTTTTTCATTTTTTTTAAAACACTTACATGAAAAAAGTGAACGTTTTTGAAATTCTCAACCTTCTAGTGGGATGCTTTCTGAGTACATCCATTGGTTGCTATCTGGCGTCCAAGTACGACTGCTCTAATCTTTTTGGTTTTCGAGACAAAGCGTTTTTTTGATATTTCCAGTTTTTTTTTTCAAAAAACGTAAGTAACCGAAATTAAGTTTCTCAACCCTGTAATGTGCGGCTGTCAGGGTACCATGAAGGATTGCAAATCTGGCGTCTAAATATGTTTGCGTCATATATTAAAAAAATTAACCAAACTTGAAAGTCTCAACGCTATAATTTGATTATATAAGGGTACGCTCAGGAGATGCAAATCTGGCATCTAAGTTTGTCTGCTGAAATCCTTTTGCTTTTCGAGATAATGCGTTTTTTATCAAATTTTTTTTAAACCCTAAGTCGCAATTAAAAGTGTTACTTTTGCAGGCTTTTTTGAATGAGTAGGGTGCAAAGCATTGGCAGTTTTAGTGACTATTGTTTGTAAATTATCAATGGCCCTTGGGGCAGATGTTTAAACTTGAAATACCGAATCTGTAGGTCGCAGGTGCGAATTCGTCACATTCGCAATGGTTAACTAATTAGAGGCTTCTTTCTATTTTTCCTATTTTTCTTTTTAGACCTGCTTTCTGTCGTTTTCTACTTAAATTTCTCAACCCTATAGTGAGGTGGAATCAGGGTACACTCAGGGGTTGCAAATCTAGTGTCCAAGTGTGACTGCTTAAGTACTTATGGTTTTCGAGGTATGGCGTTTTATGATTTTCTTTAAATTTCTTTTTCAAAAATTTAGAATAAAAAAACTAACCGAACTTGAAATTCTCAACCCTATAGTGGAGTGCAGCTGGGGTACATACATTAGCTGGAATACTGGTATCGAAGTATAACTGCTCAATTTTTTTTGGTTTCAAGATATGGTGTTTTTTTTTGATTTTTTCATTTTTTTTAAAACACTTACATGAAAAAAGTGAACGTTTTTGAAATTCTCAACCTTCTAGTGGGATGCTTTCTGAGTACATCCATGGGTTGCTATCTGGCGTCCAAGTACGACTGCTCTAATCTTTTTGGTTTTCGAGACAAAGCTATTTTTTGATATTTCCAGTTTTTTTTTCAAAAAACGTAAGTAACCGAAATTAAGTTTCTCAACCCTGTAATGTGCGGCTGTCAGGGTACCATGAAGGATTGCAAATCTGGCGTCTAAATATGTTTGCGTCATATATTAAAAAAATTAACCAAACTTGAAAGTCTCAACGCTATAATTTGATTATATAAGGGTACGCTCAGGAGATGCAAATCTGGCATCTAAGTTTGTCTGCTGAAATCCTTTTGCTTTTCGAGATAATGCGTTTTTTATCAAATTTTTTTAAATTTATTTTTCAAAAATTTAGATATAAAAAACTAATCGAATTTGAATTTCTCAGCCCTATACTGGGGTGCTATCAGGGTACATTCAGGGGTTGTAAATCTGGCGTCCAAGTATGACTGCTCAAATCCTTTTGATTATCGATAAATTGCGTTTTTTATGATTTTTTTTTCATTTCAAAAAAAAAAATTAGGTATAAAAAAACTAACCGAACTTGACTTTCTCAACTCTATAGTAGGTTGCTGTCAGAATACATTCAGGGGTTGCAAATCTGGTCTCCAAGTTTGACTGCTCAAATCCTTTTTTTTTGTTCGAGATATGGCGTTTTTATGATTTTTTTCATTTTTTTTCAAGAAACTTAGATATAAAAAAAACCAAGCGAAGTTGAATTTCTCAAGCCTATAGTGGGTTGCTGTCAGGGTACATTCAGGGGTTGCGAATCTGGCGTCCAAGTTCGACTGCTCGAATCCTTTTGTTTTTACGAGAAATTTGGTATTTCTGTTTTCTGAAGAATTGGCTTTGTAGCACCGGAGGTGCGATTGACGCGCTAGTTTATTTTTAAGATTTCCCAGCTGATAAAAAACATTACCTTTTGATCCAGTTTTCTCAAGTTGGGTTCATGTTATCAAAAGAGCTCCAATAATAAATTGTTCTAGAAATTCTAACGGCATCTTTTTCCTTGAAATTCAAATTCGAGATTTTTTTAAAAGAAAGTAAGTGTTTTTTTTGTTTACTTGCGTTCATTACTCTTTTCCAATCTTCGATTGGCTATGTTTGTGTGTTCGGAACCGACTATGCTACTTGTAAAGCAGTTGCTTTAGGTCTTAAATTTATGGCATGTATAAAATGATATTGCTGCGGGTTTTTGCACATGCGGAGCGTAGGGTGATAGTACGATGCAACTTTTTTTTAAACCCTAAGTCGCAATTAAAAGTGTTACTTTTGCAGGCATTTTTGAATGAGTAGGGTGCAAAGCATTGGCAGTTTTAGTGACTATTGTTTGTAAATTATCAATGGCCCTTGGGGCAGATGTTTAAACTTGAAACACCGAATCTGTAGGTCGCAGGTGCGAATTCGTCACATTCGCAATGGTTAACTAATTAGAGGCTTCTTTCTATTTTTCCTATTTTTCTTTTTAGACCTGCTTTCTGTCGTTTTCTCGCTGGTGTTTGCGAAGCGCAGCTTCGTGTCTGTCTTCAAAATATGAAGTAAGCGCAAAGTTACTTACTTGAGTGATAGGAAAAAACAATCAGCTCAAATTTTAATCGAGTTGTCTGAATTATCAAATTCTTGTTAAACAACGACACTGAAGCAATTCTTTCCAGAAAACTCTGTCGTCAAGTCAACTCTGCAATTTTTAATCACGTTTGATGCAAGTTTCAACACTAGCGGGCTTGCGAGCGTTAAGTGTATTAGTACGAACCTTTTTTTCTCTAAGTAAAAGTGTTCATTTTCGCAAATAAAAGTGTTCATTGAAAGTTTTCACTGATATGGAAATTTCACTGTAGCATTGGAAATTGCATACCATCTGTTCACTGCTTTGTTTTTGGCTATTTTTTGTCATCAATTAAGCGTCCGTGGCTGAGTGTTTAGTGCGTGAGACTGGAAATTTCTAGGTCGCAGAGTAGGTCTCAGGTTCGATTCCGAGACGTAGCCGATTTTTTTTTACTTATTTGATTCTTACTTCTACCTTTTTTTGGACTTTATAGAGCTGCTTTTTGTCGTGTTCTCGCTAGTGTTTGCGAAGCGCGGCTTGGCCACTGTTGAATTTTTTTGTATATTACCAACTCCGATTTGACATAATTTTAGTTTCTTTTGTGGCCTTTTTATGTAATTGGCTTGCTAGATTTCGACTCATTAAGCGGTTTTGTGGCCTCATTTTACCTCATTTTTGAGCGAACATTTTTATGCGTGTGGGATTTTTTTTCAGATCAACAGGTGTCTGCTCAAGTATTTCAGCTTTGTCATCAAATCCTCAGTTTTTCAAAACTGGCAAACATCTTACAAATGTTTTTCTCATCTATTATATATTTAAATGCGGGCTTCACTATCTCGCCATGTTTAAGCATTTTCAACGTATTATTTTTGCGTGCTTAAGCTATATCGTATATTGCAATGGTTAAGAATTTGTTTCGATTTTCTAATTTGATTTTAGTGGATATTTTACCTAGTTTAAATTAAGCAGCCCAATATCGAATTAGGGGTTGCAAATTTGGCCTCCAATTTTGAATGCCAGAATCATTTTAGTTAACGAGATAAGACAATTTTTAAGACTTTTTCAAAAATTTTCAGAAATTTCAAATAACAAAATGATTTAAAAAACTCGAAGCTCCCAACCCTGTAGTTGGGTGCTATCGGAGTACTCTAAGGAGTTACAAATCTTGCCTCCAAATATGACTGTTCAAATCCTTGTAGTTTTCCAGATATGAAGTTTTTTGTGAATTTTTCAAAAATTTTCAGAAAACTTAAGTTATTATTATTCTTTAAAAATCTGAAATTCCCAATCCTTTAGTTAGGTCCTGTCAGAGTACTCTCAAGGATTGCGAATCTTGCCTCCAAATATGACTGCTCAATTCTTTGTAGTTTTCGAGATGTGACGTTTTTTGTGATTTTTTCAAAATTTGAATTTCCCAACTCTATAGTTCGGTGTTGTCAGGGTACTCTAAGGAGTTGCAAATCTTGCCACATGCGACTGCTAAACGCGACTGCTCAAATGCTTTTAGTTTCCGAGATGTGAAGTTTTTCGATTTTTTCAAAATTTCTCTAGGAACTTATCTACAAAGAAATTCAAAAAAATTTAAACTACTAACTTGATGAAGATACAATCTTATTGTCAGCGTACACCCAGGCGTCTCAAATCTTGCCTCTTAAAATGAATACTCAAATACTTTTAGTTTCCGAGATCAGACGTTTTTTCAATTTTTTTCGGGAAACTTAGGTTTAAAAAAATTCACAACATTTTGGATTCCTAACCCTATAGTAAATATCAGTGGTTGCAAATATGGCTTCCAAATAACCCTCAGTGGTTTCAAATATGGCTTCCAAATTTCTCCAAAGGCCCTTTGAGTTTTTGAGATGACGCTTTTAAAATGGGAATTTAAAAAAATTCAAAAGTTCGAAATTACCAACCCTGTAATTGGGTGCAGTCAGAGTACACTAAAAGTCTGCAGATGTTGTTTCCAATATATGCGGTTTTTCATGAGTTTTCGAAAAATTTCGAAGCACTGAAGGTGCGTTAATTGCTAGTTGATATTTATAGACAATTCGAGACATATGGAAACTGTGGTTTTTGAGCTTTTTTCTATGCTATGTTTGTATTGTATCTTAAGTCTGTGCTATAGTTAAACTTCGGCTAATAATTGTAAAAAGCTTTGCTTTTTTGTAAATCCTCGCAAACTATCCTTGGGTTTTGAAATTTTTGTTCAAAATTTGGAATACATTCTTTTCGATTTGATATTGGCGTCTTAGCAGGTGATTTTTATCTTTGAAAATTGAACAAAATGTTTTTCGTATATCACTTAAAGTACATCAAGAAATGTTCGATAATGTTCATCGAAGTTATCGTATCTGACTTATGTTTAACCCCGAATAATGTGTTGAGCTTGAAACTGAACTGAAATGACATTGACGGTGTTGTTGTTGGTGTTGTTTCAGGAAGTGTTCATACCTCCAAGTGAGGACGAGCTCCTATGTGCCATGCTGTACAATAACGAGATAAGTGCAGATATTACTGATGAAGATAATACAGTCGATGACACAGTTCTCATTGGAAGCTCCTCCGGGCGTATTCATGTCTGCAATTTCAATGAGATGAAGTTAGTTGAAGTCGAACAGACCTTTGGAGGAGCAGTAATTGCATTCAAACAGGTAATTTATTTTGAGAAATTATATATTAGCTTTGGGTAATTGAAATGAATAACGGCTTAGTCTATTTGAATCCTTGTAAATACGTATGCGGTCTCGGACCAATGCTCCTCCCCCCGCCACGAACGACCAAATACGTTTTCCTCGTAAGCCATTAATTTTACAAGAAATGTATTCATAATGCGAGAATCAGTTTGACTCGCTATAAATAGCAAATGGAGGATGATAAGAAGAGCCCAGACTGAAAATAAAGACAACCAAAAAAATCTTTGGAGTCTGAAACAAAGTCTGGCTTTAAATCTGGTAAAAAGGATCAAATTTCTATTTTAGTGCGTGAAAAACATGCTAGCAGTTATCACACAAGACAAGCTCCTTCGCATATACACGATGAAGCAAGAAGAAAACGATCTTAATGGAAATAAACGGCAATCAATTTCTCTAACGCTTCTGACGACAGTAAAAGGCAGTAAACAGAGTCCTGAGGCTCTGTGTTGTATTGATAGTATAAACAAGTGTATTGTTGTGGGGTCTGTGAATGTCCTGGTGATGGTGACTTGGAAAAAATTGTCTCAGATTTCAAACAATGAATGCAGTATTGATTTCTTCACTGTGCCGAAGTAAGTTCGCAAGAGCATAATTGTATCATTCCAGTAGAAAGTTCACAACAGCATAGCAGAGATTCATGTGATCACTTAAGTGACATATAGGGCAATGAATTTATGTAATCAGATAGCATTTAAAAGTCAGAAATTATATATATTAACTTCAAAAAAAATCAAAATGTACCTCTTAACAAAAAATCCTTGATGAGAATAGAATGTATTCGTATCTCGTTTTTTTTTCTTGGATAAGAAGTATATCTCATAAACAAAGTGCAACTCTTCTTTTGAAAAGTTTAGCGTACTAATAATCTAATGCTTAGGGATGTTGCATCTTCTAAGACGCCAAAATCAAGTCGGCAAGGATCTATATACAATCAAGGAGGTCACGCCGACGTCTCAATTAGATCAATTTTACTCCTAGACGAAGTAACATGCGTGACAGGCGACAACGTTGGACGATTAATGTGGTGGGACCTAAGCACTGGAACTGTAATGCAAACTATCAAATCACACCAAGCATCTGTGACGTCATTGGTTTCAGACAGAACTGGTCGAATTTTGGCATCTGGAGTGGATCCCTACATTGTAACACTCAGACTTACCGAGGATGAAATTTGGGCCCAATCGGAGATTCTAAAATCTGTCCAATCAGAAGTGACATCTATGATTTCTGTTCCGAATAGGGAAGATGTGGATCTAAATAGTTTGGTCATTGGAACCAAAGCACCATATGTGTACGTCTGGAACTTTCACCCGGACAGATGTGATAGTTTTGTAACTTTTACACCTCATTATAACGGAAAGGTGGCAAATAGTGAAAGAAAGGTTCTGATTTCGAAGCCGAACTCAGTTTTCCTTCATAGTCTGGGCGATGTTTCTGACGACTCTTCAGAAAAACCGGGAATACCTTTGAAACTCGAAAGTGCTTGCGAGAAATTAATTGAACTTACCTTACCGGAAGGCCATGTTTTGATTAGTAGTGACATTTCAAATGATGCGAAGTGGCTTTGTTATGCTTCCTGTAAATCAGGTGTCTATTTTCTGAAACTTTTCCAAATTGCTAACTCGAAAGATCTTCAAAATGTACCACTGAAAACACGCTTCTCAACACCGGTGAAATCTTTAATGTTTGCCAGAGGCAATACAAGTTTGACATGTGTGTTTTCAAATGGTTCAGTACTTAACTACAACCTCAAAGAAGGAGGTCAGCCCGAAAGAGTTCAGCTTAAGTGTCAAAATGTTATCAGATGTGAATATTCGTTCGTTCATGATATTTTTGCTGTAATTTGTGGTCAGAAAGAGATCCGAATATTCAGCGCAAGAAATTTTGAACTGATTTGCGAGTTACCCGTTAGAGATGCTTTCCCGGCCGCTGTCACGTTTGCTAATGATGATAATCAGACTTCATTATTCGTGCAATATTCGGATTTCATGCATTTTGAGTTCGATTTCCAGGAAAAGCGGTACAAAAAGTGGTGTAAGAAAGTTCAAGCCACGGAGTTGAAGCAAATGGTCTCTCCCTCCATTGGAAGTACAATATTGACATTTGAAGACAGTTCACTGAAAGTTATTTCAACGTCTCAGAGTAAATTAAATGTGATTACCCCGAACAATTTGAAACGTAGCAAAGATGATGACGATTTGAAAAAGTCGAATAAGTGGATACAGTCTCTTAACAATTTCAAGGTCATCAGAAACTGTTGTAAATTGAGTGAGAATGAAATTGTGTTGTTTGTCTTGCCTGTGAGTGAAATCAACAACGTTTTGCCTGCGGGTTTCACTCGAAAGGCTTTTGGAACTTGAATTCAAAAAGATCTTCTAGTATTATTAATTCTTTCTGTTGATAAACAATGAGAGGAACGTAGAGAGGGAAGACAGTACGGATTAGCATGTTCGTCGAATAGCCGGCCTTTTAAGCATTGTAATGAATTTCTGCGCCACTTCAAAATTCTTTCGCTCAATTTCGTGAACAGGTTTTTTCTAATTGTAGTTCTAATTGTGCTTTTCCTAAAACTTTAATGGTGTTTATAGTTAATTGTTATATAACTACTATATTTGTTAGTATTTTTTCTTTCATTAGCCTAGGTTGGTCGGGTTGGGCTCGTCCGTCTCCAGGCTAAGGAACTTCGCAACTTCCACCGGCCTAAGCCACAGGTCTGCGGGAGTGAGTGGGGAGGGATTCTTGGGGCAGTTGAAAAGGTGGCAACTAGTGTGGGGTGCTAGGTGACAGTCCGGGCATAGTGGGTAAACTTTGTTGCCTAGTCGGGAGAGGTATGTTTTTAAAAGCTGACTGTAACCAGACCGGAGTTGGGAGAGTTTACAGCGAGTAGTGCTGGGGAGAGATTTTTCTTTGGGTCCAGACGACGCCGCCTTCAAGTGGTGGACCCGACATCCTGGCTTGCCAGGTTGCAAATGGCGTCAAGAAGCTCAGAAGTCTTTATTTATAGTTGCACTTTTTCGCAGGTTTTAAGAGTCGATGAACGTACTTCAGACTGCTAAATAGGTCGTGATTATTTTTTTTCTTCAGGAAAAGTCTAGAAATTTGTTCAGGCTCAAATTTAATTTTTCGCGCTTAAACTTCTGATTTTTTTTGTAAGTTCATTTCGTTGACTCTGCTTAAAGAAATCCTACTCCACCATCGAACAGCCAAAGTGTAGAGGTCACAAAAAACGTGATCGACTTCCAGTTTCGAAAATAGAATTTAATTAGCAGATTTCCCAGCGTAATGAAATTTTTAGCTATCGTTCCAGTTTTCTCAAATTGTGTTAATTTTATCAAAAAAGGGCCCATCATAAATTGTTTCAGTAACTTAAAAAGCCGTAGGTGCAATTATTTTTTTTCTTGGAAACTGGAAAGTTGGGATTTTTCAAATTGATAGTCACTTTTTTCCGTTTACTTGCGTTCATTGACTATTTTCCAACTGTCAGTTGGCTATGTTTTCTTCTTGTTTAAAAGATTAGTGTATTTGTTTTCTGAGTTTTGTCGCCTCATGACTTGCGTTTCTGTGGTGAAGTTCGATTATTGTGCATTTGTGTGTCTTCGGAGGCTGGGGTTCAATACTAGGGCCTGTCCTTTTCACTTTGTTTTAACGATTTATTTGTTTAACAGGCACAGTTGAGAATAATAATTTTTATATACTAAACAAAATAAAGATTTACTTGAGGAACTGATTGAGTTATAAAAATGGATTAATGCTCATAAAATGACATTGAACACACTAAAATTCAAATCATGATAAAAAGCCGTTTTTCAAAACATTGCGAGGCAGTAATGAAGAAGCCAAAAAAGTTTATCTCAACTTTGTACTTCAAGGAATATTCTTAACCCAAAAACTGTTGATGAATACCTTCAAAATTTTCTATCAGCCGATCTATTCTGCAAACAAAACTACTCTGCTCAACTTGCAATAACGACAACGTTTTTTGCGCTATCTCAAAAGAACAAATTCGAAGAAGTTAGAACAGATAGAAGAAAAAAAAATTGCTCATCTTCGAATTACATGTTAACTTTAAAGTAAAAATTGTAAGATCTCAGCACACAAGCGTTTGCGTTATTGGTTTCATTTCTAAACGTGAAATAGAAAAGTCTTCAGTTTAATAAAAACAGAATGAAAATCTGAAGTAAAGTTCGCTTAACAGCAACAAACAAAATTTATTAATTAGAGATAAAATACTCTTTAACGTTTGCCAAATTTGAGTGTTTCTAAATGTGATAGTTTTTCAAAAAGTTTTCGAATTTTTAAGTTGGTTCTTTTGTTCTAAGTTTTACTGTCATTAAGTGTCGATGAACGTAGTCTCTTAAGACTCTTATATAGGTCTTGATATTGTTTTGGTTCGTGTTTCAGGAAAGCCATAAAATTTATTCACGCTCAAATTTGATTTGTCTCAATTTTCTTCTATTCAGTTTATTTTGTTTGCTAGAGGAAAGACAAAGTGAATTAAATAGCAAACTGTAAAGAAACTAAAAAACGTGATTGACTCCTTATTTCAAAGAACAAGTCGGAAAAAATCACTGAAAGCAAGGAAACAAGAAAACTTGTAATTTGTTTCCTTGCTTTCATTGATTTGTTCCAACTGGTTAGAAAGATTTCAGCATTTGATATTTCGGCTAAGCCAACTCGTGGTGCATTGTTTACTTTTGCGAAATCAAGTGTTTCATAATCTGGAACTAGACTTTTCCCCGCAAACAAGTTTTCTTACAAGAAAATGAATTTTCTTTACTTTTGAACCCTATTAATTTCCAAGTTCCTTTCCCATTGACCTGGAAGAAACGCGGTTGCTTTTGCATCCTAAAATCTGTGGTTCGAGTTCTGCAGCAGGTTATATTCTGTGTTAATGAAATTGAAGTTTTTTTCGGTAAAAATTGAATTGTCGGACTTTCGGTTCTCGGCTGAAGTTTTGTCGGCTTAGGTGCCACTATGAATTTTTCTTATGATGTACGCAAGTAACATGATAGTTGCAAGTGTTGATCATTGAAGTTTCAGGTGGGATTCGACTTTAAAGATTTTTAAAATTATTTTTTTTTCCGGCTCAACTTCCGTTGCTGTTTCCGTTGCTAATTTAATATTCAAATGTCTGGCATATTTGCCTAGAATGAACATCTATCGAGACATACGAAAATTCAAAATTTGGTAAACCTAGTTTTTAATATTTTTCGTGTTTTCTTGACTTCTTTTTAATGTTTGTGTTTTAATGCAAATCATACGATGCTCCGCTCCGCTCCGCCTCTCTTAAGTTTTTTCAAGTTTTTTTTTAAAAAAATCGGCTCAACTTGTGCCTGTTCAAAGATTGACGGCTTGGTTTCCGCTCCGTAAGTTTTATTCCTTTTCTAGTTTAATATCCAATCAACTTGCTCGCATGCTTACCTAGAATTTTATATTTTTATAATTTTTTGAAGTTCTTGATTTTTCTCGAAATTTACCCTCCGAAATCTGAATTTTGGGTTGAATCTTAAGAACGGATTGTGGGAAGCTGCCCTGCTCCTGTCTCAGTTTGTTTGCACACAAATTTATGACACGCTTTTAGTTTCCTCAAACTACCCAGCTAGTTTTCAGGTAAAGTGTTCAATCGTAAAACACAGTCTTGGGAAACCTCTGCTTTAGCGGCTACGACCTATTTTTTTTGCAGAAAAAAGGTATGGATTTCGGAAAATCATGTTTTTGAACTTTTGACCGTTTTTTACATTTCGGCTTTTCTTAGAATTTATCCTATCAAGTCTGAGGTGAAGGGTTTAATCGAATGAAAAGTTTGCAAAAAGTTTTCCTGTAGAAGTAAAGACTCGTTAATTTTTGTAAGATAAATATTGTCTCTGGGATTTGAGAAATAACTAAGGTTTCGGACAAAGTTTAGTTTTTGAAATTTAATTAACCATTTCATCATACATCAGTAGACCAAATTCCGAAAATATCAAACATGTATCTCCAACTTTAGTGGGGAAACAATTTATCTTTTCTCGATACCTAAAAATTTTCGTTCATCTGAATTTTTTTGAACAGTTATCATTTTTTTCGACTGTGTTGAAGAGAGAAAACAGATATTTATGCCTGATTATGCTTCAGGGTTTATCCGAAACGTGAAAACTTCAATTTTGAAAAGTTTTTTTTTTGGTTCAACGGGGGTCTAGCCAAATTTTGCCTGTTTATAGTTAACGCTTTGTAAGTTTTGTTTCAATGCTGAGGTAAAACTGTAATTGTAGTTGTCACTGCCTTCTGATACATGGAATTCAAATTATAATTGACACTCGTACTGAATTTAAAAACTTGCCAACTCTGATTTTGTATAATTTCTTTTTAGTTTTGATTTTTTTTTGGCTTAAACGGCGAAATGTTTTTCAGGACTAATGGGGCGTGAAACGTTATTTCAACAACATTGTATCAACATTTTTGACAAAATTTAGTTTCCGTTCCAAATGGTGTCTAACCACTAGCCAAATTTTTTGGTCTGAATTGCTGCTTCGTACAGGATTTTTTGAATACCTTTTCAGTACTTCTGAATGTGTGTCTTGACATGTTTAAAACTAACATCATGGGGAAATAGTAGGTCTATTTTTTTAATTTAGTTCATCGACATAGTGTCTTCAATCTGCAATGCTGTTTCTGTTGTAACGCAGGTCTTGAAAAGCTCTGCTTCTCCTCTGTATAATTAAAAGTATTTTTTGATGATTTTCTTAAAGTAGTGGGTAAATCTAAAGCAGAGATTAGTGTATTTCTTTTTGGTAAACCACGGCAAGCCTTGACCTGAAAACTTACTCCTATCTTTCCGTATGCTAGCTCAGAAGAGGCTCTTATGATATCCTATTTTTGAATAAACTATTTCATGAGCTCCTTATTTACTCAAACGAGGTTAAGAAAAGTTTCATGCGCGAAACCAATCCGCCTGAGTTATATTATCTAGGACTGTTAAGTAACCACACGTACTAGCATCATTAAGGGTACTTTGTGCTCAGTCACTATGACTTAATCTAATTCGCATTAGTTTTTTGAACCCTTGCGAACAGCAAGGGTATTGCAATCGGGCACTAGACTTCTTTTCGCGTAAACAACTTTGTCCACAGTTTTGCAAGCAGTATAAGCGACATGCATGCAGTATATTCGTCCTATTTGCGCTGATTTATCTATTATTCCCACTGTGCATCTTTATTAGTGTTTTTCCAACAAATCGCAGCTCATAATTGTTAAATAATATTTCTTTGGTATATTTTGATTTTTCGACTTCGTCGCTTTCTGTTTTTTTTGTCGGCTTAGATTTCGCTTTGTTTTTGCAAGCAACCACGTTTATTTGAAAGTTATTTGTGGAGGCTAGAAGGCTAAATAACTCAAAATAGTA